AAAAAATTCCGGCCGGCCGGCCGAACCGGACGGACCGGTTCCGACCGGCCGTCGTTTCCGGACGGCTTTCTTGCCGTCCGGCCGGCCGGTTCGGACAGCAACGGTCCGTCCGGCCGTGCTTTCCGGCCGGGTTTACTTGTCGTCCGGCCGGCCGGTCCGGACGGCTTTTAGTCCGTCCGGTTCCGGCGTCCGGACGGCTTTTAGCCCGTCCGGAACCGGCGACCGTACACGTATTTTTTCGTACCTCCGAATTTGACGACATTTCACCGTACACTTTCCTCTTATATGTTTAGAAAAAATGAGAAGGGCAAAATTGTCCAAGGGGGGCGGTGACTAGTAATATGGGGGGCGGTGAATAGTAACACCCAATTGAAAATTATACTTGGGCCGAGAGGGGCCGAACCCTGTAGATTAGAGAAATAATGACATTACAATTTACATATTTTTTATTTTTTTAGTAAGTGTTTCATTTTTTTCTATTTCTATCTTTTTTTCCATTTCTACCAATCTACAATTACTTTATTGGCTATTTTAAAGACACAATCAATATATTGTAATCGTTCCTCTTTCTTAATGAGAAATTCTACTCCAAGATCCAATTTTTTGTAATTGTATCAATTTAAAACTTGAATTTTATTATTTTTCAATAGAATGCTTGTATTTTAAATTATTCTTAATTTAAGAATTATTTTTTAGTTAACCTTTTATTATAAGGTCCAACTAACTTTATTTTGGTACAAAATTTCTTGGTCTTTTGTATACGCTCGTCATAGCGTGCAATTCAAAAGCGTATATTTATCTTCTATACAAGCTTATCATTTGACATAATTTATGTTGCTAACTTCTTGACCATTTGTAAATTGTAAAACAAATTACAACCTAATTTAGTTCCAAACTTCCAATTCAATCACATATCTTTTTTCAATTTTTATGATTTAAGATAGGATTTTCTAATTTTTACAAATTGAGGCATGATGGGTTTTCTCCTAAATCTGGAGTGAACCGGTTGAGATGAACTCCGATTTGTCTTAACCGCTTTTAGATCGCCACGAACGCATGCAAGAACTCAACGCCGCAGGATTTCCGGCGTAGAGACTCCTATGTTTAAGTCAGTATCAAGAAGAGAGAAGAATACCGCAGCAGCAAAATATGGAATGTGTAGAGAGTGCAAAATTTAGAGTTTGGTCATACCTTATCCCCTTTTATAGGGGTAAATACCTGCCCGGAATGACCTTCGGTCAGCCTACCCAACTGCCCGATTTATCCATATCCTAATCACCTCTTAGTCAGATCTGAGTCATCCCAAGATTCCATCTTACCCTCTTAATATTTCTACTTATCCATTAAGCCTATTGAGTATTGAAGTGAGGCCATAGAAAACATGCACCTCGAGCTGGGAGTGGGAAGTCGACCTCGAGAGACAGAAGGTCGACTTAGAACTAATAAAGAGGCGGAGCCACCACCTAAAGAGATCCTGCTTCTTGCCCCTAGGTCTTCCTTGAGTCCATGATACAAGGAGTCGACCTCGAATTGCGATGTGAGTGAGATTGACCTTGAGACGTAGAGGTCGACTGTAAACCGTCATAATGATGCATGAGGTCGACCTCGAGTTGCAAGATGCGTGAGGTTGACCTCGAGATGTTCATAGCGTTGAGGGGATTTGTCATCCCTCTACTTGCTCTCGAACCGCTCTTATGTCTTCGGGCTGCTCTTCACCCGGTATTGGGTTACTCTTCTTCCAAGTTGCTCTCATACCTACAACTCGAGGCCCTCGAGTTATCATTCAGATGCCAGTTAACCGGGTTATTCTGCTTTGCTCGAGTCATCAGGTTGTAGCTCGACTCAACATCCGGTCGAGCTATCCCTATTTCAGCTTATCCTATTATGGTTGTATCAAGACATGAATTTAAATTTCGATGATTGGTTAATGATGTGTCTGATAATATTATTTATATTGCTTAGACTACCTAAAAAAAAATTCAACTCAAATATTATATCATATAACGAATATAAGTTCGATGAATACTTGTGAAAGGTAATTGTTATATAAGTTGACTATACTTAGACCATTTTTAGACCTTATCTTTACTCTAGCGCGGACTCTACTCTACTCTAGAGTAGAGTGAAACAAAAATCAAGTTTCGTCCCTTATCTCTACATTTTACTCTATATTAAATATATTATTTTTTTATTTCAAATAAATTGATATATATATATATATATATATTTAATCTTATATAATTTTTTATTATCAAATAATAAAGATGTACTTTTAATTTTAATGAAATCAACTCGTTTGAATGTGTTAAATTTTTATTCATATGGTACCATTTGTTTGAATTTGTTTTGCGAACGAAACTTTTTGTAAGGCCTTATTTGAGTAAAAATAATAATTTTAGAATCTACTTAAAAATATATATAATCAACATAATGTTTAATCTTTGAAACAATATTTAGTATGTTAATAATTTCACTGTTACAATTAACAGTGGCGGAGCCACATGTAACTTCTCCAGGGCTTTAGCCCGGGTAGAATTTTTTGTCCCCATGTATGTATATATATATATACTTAAAATAATTTTAATTATATATATAATTAAAATAGGAATTGAACAATATTTATAATGTCTAACTAATTAAAAACATTTAGCATAATCATATCAAAAAATTATCGAACCATTTTAAATTTAAATAATCATATCAAAAATATCAATATTGAGGGATTTTATCTTGATAAAATTAAATAATTCATTAAAATTTGAGAAATAATTGTTCAACAAGTTAAATTTGTTCTTAATAATGTTCTTTTTCTTTGTTTTTAACTTTTGTTTTCGTGTTGTCATAATAAAGTGTCATTGCCTTTTTTAAGTCTAACTCCTAAATTTAAACTAAAAAATATATTTAAAAAAACCACAAAAATACTTAAAAAATAATATTTTTTATCAGAATTTTTATTTAATATTTGCTATAATTTAGCCCAAGTATGTTGAAAATCCTGGATCCGCCCTTGGTTACAAAAATTTGGCAAGCACTAATTATATACTTCCCCAAATGAAAATCACTATACTTACAAATCATATTCATACATGTACAAAATCATTGACCACAAGTTGAATTTTCCAACCACATAAGTTGACTAATCGAAAAGTGTGCGTTCACGGTTCACATCACCCCACCAACCAAAAACAATATTAATGGACCCCGCCGACCACCACCTTCCTAAGTGGACACGTAACTAAAATTCTCCTTAATGTTTTTTGGTGCAATAAACCAAAACCTGCCATCTAATGACCTTAATCCAACCCCATATAACATATACTCCATAATTAGGGCATGCTTGTTTATGAAATATTTCATTCAAAATGAGTTATTTTAGTTAACTAGAGTTAATTTTGAAAAAGGTAGTATGGTTAATTGTTAGTGGGATTTTAATAATATATTAAAATAATATTTAAAATAAAATGATTATTAATGATTTGATGTAAAAGTAGGATATAAATGATTGGAAATGATTGCAAATGATAGGTAGTTAAAATTATGTGAGTGGATGAATAGTGAATTAAAGTTGATGTGATATGTAAGAATGATTGGTTTATAATATTTAATTATATAAATAATATAAATGATAGTGGGGTTGAGTTAAAGTTGAGTTAGATTTTGAGTGTGAAATGAATTATTTCATAAACAAGCATGCCCTTAGCATTTTCCCAATCTCAGTCCTATCACCACCACGCGCTTTCTCTCTCCCAATAATAATATTATTTCTTATTTCGCCCAATAAATATCCGTTTGATTAATATCAAATTAATTCCAAAAACCCATCACCTTTCTTCAGACAACTCGAACTTTCCCAATCTACTTTACCTCGTCCGTCGTCCCATCGTCCTCCCATGGCGCTCTCTGTAAGAGCACCGACACATCCCCTCTCCTCCGCCGCCTATTTCATCGGCCTCCTCCTCCTCCTCCTCTCCTCCGCCGCCTCCGTCCACTCCATCGGCGTCAACTACGGCACCCTCGGCGACAACCTCCCCCCGCCGGCCCAGGTCGCCCGGTTCCTCAAGGACCGAACCACCATCGACCGGATCAAGATCTTCGACACCAACCCGGACATCCTCCGCGCCTTCGCCGGAACCGGCATCCTCGTCGCCGTCACCGTCCCCAACGGCGAGATCCCCTCCCTCGCCAACGACCCCTCCGCCGCCGCCCGCTGGGTCGCCGCCAACGTCTCCCCCTACCACCCCGCCACCCGGATCAACTACGTCTTCGTCGGCACCGAGGTCCTCCACTGGGGCCCGCAGGAGCTCCGCGACGCGCTCGTCCCGGCCATGCGGGCCCTCCACCGGGCCCTCGCCGACGCCGGCCTCGTCCGCGACGTCCAGGTCACCACCGCCCACTCGCTCGGGATCCTCGAGTCATCCGACCCGCCGAGCCGGGCCCGGTTCAGGCCCGGTTGGGCCGAGGGGAACCTCGCCCCGGCCCTCCAGTTCCACCGCGAGACCAACTCGACCTTCATGGTCAACCCGTACCCGTTCTTCAGCTACAGCCCGGAGAACGCGAGCTTCAACACGTTCGGGCCGAATCCGGGTCGGATCTATGACCGGTTCACGCGGCGGACCTACGGCAGTATGTTCGACTTGCTGATGGACGCGGTGTACGTGTCGATGATGAAACTCGGGTACAAGGACGTGGGCGTGGGGATTGGGGAGACGGGTTGGGCCTGGACCGGGGATATCTTAGAGCGGCCCAGGTGCTCGGTGGAGAACGCGGTGTCGTACAACGGTGGGCTGGTGAGAAAGTACAACTCGGGTCGGGGCACGCCCCTGATGCCCCGGAGGAGGTTCGAGACGTACTTATTCGCGCTTTTCAACGAGAACCAGAAAACCGGGCCGTTGTCCGAGAGGAGCTTTGGGCTTTTCAACACCGATTTCAGCCCGGTTTACGACATCGGGATTATGCGTGGGGGAGTTAATACGAATCCTGCTCCACAGGTATGAGTAATTAAAATTGAAATTAATTTGAGATTGAATTAATAATTAATTAATGTTCTCATTTTTTTTAATTAAGTATACCACTACCAGTGTAGTGATTACAGCATTAACATTGATTATAGTTTTCTTCGTAAACGATTTCTTGTTGTAAGTGATTATATTTTGAACTTAGTGTAGAATGGGACTGTGATTAGTTTTCTAAATAAATGCAACTGGTTATTCATTTCATATTTCACGCGACCAAGTGTAAAGTGTTCTTTAAATTTTAAAATTCAAATTTCCTCCCGTCCTAAAAATTAATTAATTTACTTCATCGGGTGTATATAATATTAGCCATTAGGTATGTGCAGTGTATGTGAATGGTGATTGAGATTGAAATTGCAATTAAGATATCCAATGGGCATTGGAGAGCACAATTGGTGTGGTGGGGATGGACTCTCTCACTTTAAGCTAACATATTTTATGAAGAATTTAACAGATTGGTCAACTATCAATGAGTTCATTCTTGTTAAAGCTACAAACGAGTTGAACCGAAATTGTGGGTCTTATACTCGAGGCTTAATTGAGTCGAGCCAAACTCAACTTGTTAACTAAACGAGCTTGAGTCATGTTAACAAGCTTGATTTGTCAATTTAAGAAATTCATGAAAAGAAAACTTTTAATTTTGGGCATAACAAGTTGGTTCGACTCGACTCATTAACTAAATAAATTTTAAACAATTTTTTTTTTTTTTTTTAATT